TGCTGTCATGTATTTTTGAATCTTTGTGAATTTAGAAATGTCTTTTGTGTTTCTATAGCATATCAGTAATCTGTAAGCACTGTTTAGATATCTTCTCTGTTTAGATAGCGTTCTGCAGATCATTGAAGTTTAAAGATATGTTTTTGAAAAAAAATATTTATTTTTGATAGTTGCTTTTCCTTTAATCCACACCTTTTCTCTCTTCTGAAGCTCCAGTTATTTCAGTGTAGGCCTCCTACATATACATCTTTTATTTAATTTCTTTTTTTGCCATTATTTCCATTTTTCCCCTAATTTGAATGTTAGAATAATTAATTTTTTTAATGACTCAGTTTCTAGCAGTGTTCTGTTTTTGCAGTCATTTGAATATATTAGAAAGAGTTGTTCAGTCATCATCACAATAAATCTTAGAACATTTTCTTCTATATTGTACTTACTTTTATTAGCTCCATTTCCCCCCAGCCTTTCCTACCTAAGAAACTTTCCTTCCCCAAGACACTATTCATCTAGTTTCTGCTTTTATAGACACCGAACACAGATTTCATATAAAGAAACAACAATAACAAAATAAAACAGAAAAACCTCATTACAGAAGACAGCAGAAAATAATAATAACTAGAACAAAATGAGTGGAAAGGGAAAACAAATGATAAGGTATTAAAATTTAACTTACCGATATCTGTTTTAACTCTCTTTCTGGTGCACTCTACTGTGTTTGAGGGCAAGGGTATTCATATCCCTGGTCTATGATTTAAGGGAATTCAGTGGAGGATTAATCCCCATGCAAATGGATTTTGGTCTTTGGTAGTCAATCATATCCTTCTGCAAACTGGGTGCTCCTCTGATCTTGGATTTTATCATTTACAATCTTGGGGTTATTCAGGCTACTGTAGTTCTTCAATATGGGCTTAGCTGATACCTCACTTAGATGGCTACTTGTTTCAAGACAAACTTTAAGAACCCACATGCTATTATTTCTAATAGTGGGGTACCATCTTTCTTCACCATACTTTGATATGGCACCCATATCATCAGTGGTTCTTTCATGAGGCTATGTATCCAGCAGGGCTGCATCATAAGAACTGACTATATTAATCCAGTTAAGTATGCATACATTAAAGTATTCATTATGTGTAAGACCTTGCTTAGTGTTCTGGGTTTGTAGATAGAACAAGATCTCTGGTCTCAGTATTCTATAGTCTATTTTAGTAGTAGCCACAGCAAAGCAACTTTGGTAACGTTTAGAGTTAACTGTTAAATTGTTAGTTGATTGGCGGTTTACATTTCAGACCATCAACTTGGGATTAACAGTTTATAATAGATGTAACTTTGTAGAGCGATCCAACTACCTAGAGAAACATGAGGGAGCTTCAAAAAGTTCATGGACAAATGGAATGAAAAGATAATGGTGGAGAGGGAGGGGGAGCGGGGAGGGAGGGGAATAATGAGGACCTAATGCCGGGGGCTTAAGTGGAGAGGAAATGTTTTGAGAATGATGAGGGCAGTGAATGTACTAATGTGCTTTACACAATTGATGCATGTATGGAATGTGATAAGAGTTGTATGAGCCCCTAATAAAATGATGGGTGACAATGGATAATTGTCAGGACTATGGAGAGAAGACACACATTCAAAGTGGCATGTTGGTCACTATCTGCGTTTGGAACCAGTTTTCCACTCAGCCTGTCAAGAGATTTGGTTGCTATGCAGTGTGCATGTTGCTGTTGTTTTCTAGAGGGAAGTTACATTTCTAGCAGGACTTAGACTGGTACTTTTTCATTGTTGTTGTTCTGCTTAAGAGTTCTGGCTTACCTCTGTTTTAAAAATTTGGGTCCATTCTGGTGTTACTTTGTTAGCCATGACTGACCAGGACAGAAGTCCTATTTTAAGACTGAAGATCTTTATTCTTTGCTCTTATTCAGGCTAATTACTCTAATTATGCTTGGATACTTGTCATCCTGGGATTCCCCATCTTGAACATCATGAAAATTCATTTTGTATGAGTCTTTGTTGAACTTAATCTGTCTTTTCTTTTTTTTTCCCCCATGGGGAAGCAAGGAAGAGGGGGCTGGATTGTCTGGCAGATTCTCTCAAGTTGACAAAGAAAGCATAGGTAGTATTTCTCAGGACTTCATTTTTCTCCTCCTCTTAATTGTTTGTTAGTTTGTTCAGGTGTAGGATTCTCAGATGGAAGTTACTTTCTCAGAATTTTGAAGACATTGTTCCATTGCCTTCTAGTTTCGAAAGTTTACTTTTGAGAAGCCCCAGTGCCTTTCTGATTCTGAAGCCTTTCTAAGTGACCTATTCTTCACTAAGAGGTTTCTGACTATTAATCTATATTCCTCATTAATTTTTTTCACTGTTTCTTGACGTGGGTGTCTTTAACCAGTGTGCGTTACTCAGAAAGTGTGCCTTTCCAATCCAAGGATTTGGTGCTGTACAGCACTGTCTGAAATATCATTTACATGTTTTTCGTGTCTTGTATTAGTTTCTGCTGTTTACCTTATTGAAATTGAGTTTTTCTAATTTTTAGAAAGGCATGCTGCAGGATGACTTTTCTCATGGAACCTCCTCCTCATTTGTTTCTGAGTGCTTTTCAAAATTGTACCTCTTGGTGTCTAATATTTGTAGACATTGTCAGCTTCCTAGTTTTGTTTGACTTGTTATATGCAATTTTGTATCCTTTCTCAATACTTTCTCATTGTGTGATTCTCATAACCAGTAAGAAAAGCCAATCCAATATTATTGAACCCATTCCAATTTAAAGCCATATTTTAGTACAAAATAATGCTTTTTTGAGGTCTAAGAAACTGGTGGGAGCAGCTGGTGAGTTTGAACCATCGACATTGCAGTTTAGCTCACCACACTGTGCCCTCTGGGCTGTCCTGTTGCTTTGATAGAGTAGGATTAGTTCCTAGAGGTTACACTGTTCTAACCTATTCAAGTATCATTGTGAACTTTCCTCGCTGCAGGGGCAGTGAATTATGTAATGTGGCTCCAATTAGCCAAAGTGTTAATTCCCACCAATCTATCTTTCCTGAATGGGTTTGGTAAGAAGATGGGAAGGTGGTGAAAGATACTGATAAGACTCAGGATTCCCTGGAATGCCATCCTGCTGTGTGTAAAATGAGCTCTCTGAGAAGCAGGAGGCAGGATCTACCAGCCTGAGCCAGGAATGGAGAGCTTCCTCTGGACCATAGGTGTGAACCTCTTAGAACCAGAAGACAGCTATAATATCAGAGAAGAAGCAACAGAACCAGGAGCCGGAGAGAGCATGGAACAGAATGGTGGACCTTCCAGCCAACCAACAGAGCAAGTAAAGCAGAGTGCTTTTGTGCAGGAGGCTGGCCTACTGAATGGGGTGCCTCTAAGCACTTGTTTGCGGAAGAGATAGGCTTGCCAACTCAGGGGAATAGAGCTTAGTGCCTTCTGCCTGATACTTACCCCAGAGTGGGGTGCCTCTGGGCACTTAATTCAAAGAGCTGGATTTGCTGACCCATGGAGCTTGAGCTGAAAGCCTTGGTTTGGGTAAAGACTTCCAGAAGAGTGGTATGCCTTGTCAGGCATTTATTAGCACACTTGAAAGAACTGTAGAACACGTCATGATAAACAACTGCCATGAGCATTTCTCACTGGCATTAACAGTGTGTTAACTTCCTAAATAAACTCTTTAATCATGAATTTTGTGTGTGGGTTCTGTGTAGCCATTGCAATGGATATTAGAACCAGAGAACTAAACCGGAAAACATTAAGACAACACACTCACTAACTAGCTAACTTACATTGAAAAGGGCAAAAACTATTCTATAGCTTCTGTACTTAAATTGACTTGTTGGTTTTGGTGAATCACTGTTTTTGGTATCTCAGATATATCAGACATATTTCTTCCATATAGTTCTTCCTCATATATTTCTTATAGTTCTATATAATCTATATAGTTATTTCCTCTGTATAGTTAAGGAAACCATGCAGGTCTTGTGGTTGTTGGTGAGTTACTGCTTTGGGGGAGAAATTCATGGAGAATGACTATCTTATAATCTAGTTTTGTTGTAAATGTTGTTAGTGGGTTTTTGGTTAGTGTCTAGTTTTACACATTTTTGTGTGGGAATTTAGGGATGTATAAAAGCTTTTCCAAGATCTCTATTGTGCCTAGAATCTTTTAAATTTATCATTTAAGTGCTGTTAACAGTGTTTTTGTTTCAGGTTTGATAATTTTGCTTTAATTCGATTGTATCGCTCCTCTAAGGTGGTACTCAAATCTTACCCAGTTTAAATATTGTTCTTTGTTTAAAATAACCTATACAGAGTGCCCAGCATAACACTGAACATGCAAGTAGTAGATATTTAATACTATTGCCTAATTAAATTGATGACTCAGAGTCATCAGTTTGGGAAATTACTTAAGGGCCATTTATAGACCAGCTTACAAATTTTCAATAGTAGAATTCTTGTAAGTGGAAGGGGCGGGGGGAGTATATGTATATTAACAGAACTGCCTACATACTCATGTGCCATCTACGGTTAGCCTCTCTCTGGTCTAGACATTCTTGGATGACAATGATTTAATGATGATTCCCAGAAAAACCAACAAATGGCCAGCCTCGTAAAAGACCATTCCAAAACAAAGCAAAAACTCTGTATAAATTGTTAATATGAAGAAAGGTAAAAGGTGTGTGTGTGTAGGATATGGTGAAATCTGATAAGATTGTGAAGGGAGTTGAGGAACACAATATTTATACTTGAAGCATTATTTTAGACATGGATAGTCATTTTAGGAGTTTTCTTAGGAATGGCCCAATTCTAGTGCTTTTTAATTTGGTGTCTCAAAAAAATTAGCCAACAGAAATCAATTCCTGAAACATAGCAGAACTTCATTGACTTGATAAAATGTATATTTATAGCATACTTTTTTGTTTTCTCTACATATGTAAGTAGATATGTACTTTGTAATGTATATCTAAAAATTGCCCCTAATTCTTGCCTTTGTATTTTTTAAACAGGCCTCAACAAATAATGAAAGCTCTAATCACAGTTTTGGAAGCTTGGGATCTTTAAGTGACAAAGAATCAGAGGTAAATAATTTCATCCTAACTACAGTGCTATTAAGGTAAAGCCTGGAGTCACTTTTTCTAATCAAATAGGTTTTCTGTGATGGTTTTAAATCTTCACTCCTTGTACTAAAATTTAATGCCTTTGTAAGTTTCTTGTAGGAATATTTTGTTCTGCCTTATGAAACAACATTCAAATGGAAGACTATTGTTAAGAGAAAAAAATAATTTTTCTGTTATGTAACTGAACTTGTGCATTAGTGGTTTAGATATTCTTAATAGATCATTGTTACTCATTCGTAAATTCTATGAGAGGCAAGTGGTTTTTGAAATACTTTGTTTCACAGTTTCTATTATTTCTTGTTATACTTCCCTTCTTGTTTGATCCAAAATAAGGGTTGTATATTTTCTGTGGTAGAGATAGATACATGTGTTTTTTTCTTATTTTAGAGTTTCTTGTGGAATCATACTGTTGGTTTTCACTTTTCATATTTTAAAAAGTCTGAGGACTCTCTTTCTCCACCACATGTCCACTTATCCATTGAGAAAATACATGGGATTTTATGTAGGCATTTGGATCTATGGTATAGGTCACTTTGAGCATGAAAGAGTTCTGCTTTTTAATGTATGTGTGTTATGTATGTTTTCCCTGTGAATGTTAACTTTTTTTACTTGATCTGTTTTAATCTTTGTTCTGCTTGACTTAGTGTAGATAATTTCACCATGATAGTACCAGTAGGCTGGTAGCACTCTGTAACTCTTAGACGTTCGGTTTAGCAGTTCAGCATATAGGGAGCATCAAAGGTGACATCTTTTCAAGTCCTGTGTTACTTGAAAGCATCTTGGAATCTATAGGTGGACAGTTCTGTGCAGTTCTATGCAGGCACCCTGACACTCCAAAGGAGTGGCATAGGGCTCTCACTCATCAGGCTTTCCCTTCCACAGAGACAACTGGCAGGCAGCTGAAAGGACTGTGCAAGTGACGGGACTTTATCTGCAGTAGGTTGGTTCCCTTGAGGTAAGCGTTAGTAGCCCCTGTAGCACCAGATTATCAAAAGTTTAGTTTTACTCAAAGTAACACACAAAGTCCTTAAAAATTATAGGTAAAAATTGTAGATCTAGTCAAAGTACAGTTTTTAAAAAGCTATATCAAGAATGTTTTCACTTTATATTTCCATGGCTTTGGAACATTTCTTGATATTTTCACAGAATTGGGTTTATTAGTGATTTCATAGGCATTTTATATTATAAAGAGCAATAAAATAATTATAGCCACTGTACTCCCTTTTATGTTCACCAAGTCTATTTTTGATAGATTTTTAATAGTAAAATATAGTAGAAGTTAGATCACCTATAAGAGTTAAGCTTTTCCATCTTCTTTAGAAGTACATACTGTCCCAATATAAGTTCCTAATATAGCCTAGAATTTGTTTATTCAAAGCAATCAACCTACAGGAAAATTCAATTTTCCTTTAAAAAATTGCAAGGATTACTTTAGGGTATATCTTTAGTTAAAATGTTGGTTGTGGGATTTTTTGTTTGTATTGTTAGTTTCTAATTAACTGTTCACAATGGAATGAAAATTGGTTAGCCAATGGCTGTACTTAGGCTTTACTTGCATAGTATATTTGGCATTTTTTGTAGCTGTAGACAATGTTAAACTCTTTTGGCTCTTGCCAATTTGTAAATTAATGGTTAAGCCAGGTGACAACAATATATTGGAAATGGCCTTAGATTACACATTTTCCTTAAGGTTTAGTGGAGCAACTTAAAAAATTTTGCATTTCTTTTCATATAAGAAGTGGCTTGTCAGGAGAATGGTTCCCAAGCTTTATCTCTATAGTTGGATACTTTAATTAATGGAAATTACTTGGAGTAAAACTTTATATACACACACCAGAATACAGATATCCCATAGGGTTTTTTTAATTCCATCGTTTTTAAGTAAAGTTGTTGAGAATAAACAGATGTAGATAGATGTACCTCTGCTTTTTCTAATATACCTAAGGGTATACCTCATAGTAAAATTTACAAAGAGTTTCCGGTGTCGTATTTTTCGGTAATTGATTCCATGGTTCATTCTACTTTTAAAAACAATATTTTTGTTTTTATAAAGAAAGAGTACTAAAGGTTTATTTTTAAAAAAAAGCTATTTTCTACCACCTATCTATGCTCCTGAAGCAGCCACTGTTTTTTTTTTCAGCTTTCCTTCTTGGTACTTATTTCCTTAGAGTAATCTCAATAATATGCATACCCTGCTATTTTTGCTTATCAGCTGGACAGAACTGATTTGCGCCCTCTTCAGATTCATGAAGATGTTTAGCTCATTGTGGTCCTTTTCTCTTCTTCCTGTTCTCCTACTGAGGATTCTTCTCAGACACTTAGAACCTCCTGTTTTCTTCATTCTCTTACAGCTAAAACGGAAAAGCAGCTGGTAATCACCATTTGGCTGATTAAATCACTTCAACTGAATTTTTTTATAATTCAGTATTTTGTGTGTGAATTTACATTTTCTAAATGTAGAATTCTAAAATAAAAGGTTTTATCTCATGGTAACGAAATCACCTGGTAGGAAGGAAGGGTATTGGTTTGATTATATTACGCTTCACCGTAGTCTGCTCAACTGACTGGAAAGATCCACATATTTTTGATAAGCATTTATTGCCTGTCTTGTCACTCTCTAGTTTCTGTGCAAAGCACAGGGGATGTAAAGCTGATAGGGATCTCAGCATATGATCAGGGAGTCTCTTGAGTCGTTCAGGGAGTCTACCAGGTGGAAACAATTTTCATGATAATGCTAATAAAATAATCTTCGCATTTTTAAACTCTTAATCTCTCATGAATTTATAGCGGAAATTGCCAGAGGCTTTATAATAGGTGATGAGATCTTTGGTCTAATTATTTACTGATTATGTGTTAGTGTGTTCTAGTGTTTTAAGCGTTGTTTTGTTTAAAACTGTAAATATCGATATAACCTACATAAATAAATGCTTCTTGATGTCCTTACCAGATTTTTGTGAGTTTTAGAGGGGTCTCATAGGAATCCTGGTGGCTCAGTGCTTAAAGCACTTGGTTGCTAACTTAAAAGTTGGTGATTCAAACCCACCAAGTGCTACCCCGGAAAAAGATGTATCAATCCATTTTGATAAAGATTACAACCATGGAAATCCCATATGCAATCCTACTCTGTCCTATATGAGCACTGTGAGTTGACATAGACTTGGCAGCAATGGATTTTGGGGTGTTTTGTTTTTAGAAGGGTTCCAAGACCAAAAAACTTGAAAGTTGTTCGTATACACTCAGTCATAATGATAGTTGAACGTTAGGGAATATTAGCATGTAAGGCACGGGTAAGGGAGCATATGGAAAATGAGTAAGGAGCCTATTGCAGATGTGGGCAGATAAGTAGAAAAAGAGAATAGTAGAATCTTGTCGATGCTCATTAAGCTAATGACTATAAAAAGTGACTGAGAATTTGTTTTAAGGGGTCACAGGAGCAAGGTGTCATGCTGTAGTCCCTCAAGGGGTGATTGGTAAGTGAAGAACTAGTCAAGAAGCAATTGTTGACTGCTCTGAGCAGTCTCCAGTGTGAAAGAAGACAGTAGTACCTAGATGTACTTGACCTAATAGGTGCTAAGGAAAGGTGTGCTAAAGCTGTGGTGGAGACAAGAGACAGACTGAAGAGCTAGAGGAGAAAGTAGGGACAATAAAGCACCTTTTTCTGAAGGAAGTCTGAAAGCAGAAATTCAGATCGTGGGTGAGCAGGGTGGTCTTGGGTAGAACTAGGAATATTCATTCTTCTGAACTGGGGTAGAGAGATGAATTTGCACTCTAGAAAACTTTTATTCCTACTTCACACGGTAGAATAGAAGCTAGAAGATGAAAGGGTAAAAAGTATGAGTGGATTGTAGCTTTAAAGAAAATATTTATGTGAGAGGTAAGAAGGGGGAGTTTATTGGGACACACATCCCTTATTTAAAGTTGTAGAATGCCTAAAAAAGTTACAAATGTGGTGTGTGGACCTTCTTTGCAGGATAAGAAAAGGAACCATGTTTCTTGACTGTCAGTGCTTCCCAAGTTTTACAATTGTCTTACATTCTCCCCATGGATCCCACCTACTTGTAGCCCTCCGTGCCGGGCCTTCCTTGTTGACACACAAAGACTGTGTTCTTGTACTTTCTCTACATTCTGTGCAGTAGCTCTTCTCTTCTCAGATCTACCCCGAGATACCAAGATAAAGTATCTTCTAGCTCATATGTCAGAGTTGACTTGGCAGCAGTGAGTTTAGTTTGAGTATTAATACCGTAAGCATTACTTCTTTCCCTTTTAGGTTATCCTACAGTATATTTCTCTGCTTTTTTTCCCTTTCTTACTGAGGTTGGGATATTTGTGGTTGACTATAAATTTTTTTTTTAAAGGGAAGCTCGCTGCCATTCGAGTTGATGCTAACTCATAGCGATCCTGTAGGACAGTGTAGAACTGCCCGTGTGGGTTTCTGAGATGGGAACTCTTTATGGGAATAGAAAGCCCCATGTTTCTCCCATGAATCAACTAGTGGTTTTGGCCTACTGACCTTTCAGATCGCATCTCAGTGCGTAACCACTACCCCAGCAGGGCACCAGGGCAGCACAGTCATAGCTATGCATTCATTTGTGCTTGTACACAATGGACTTCATAATATGGTATATAGCATGCTTCATGTTCATAAGGCAGAAATGTCAAGAGATTCTGTGTATTTCTCAATTTAACTTTTAATATTTATATTTCTATATAATCTAAACTCGAGTGACATGCTTTAAAATACATAGTTTCCTCCCCAAACCAAAGCAATATTTTCTTTCTCTTGAGTCCTTTTAACCTCCTCCCAATAACCCTAAAATACTGTTATTTTCAATCTAAGTGTACTTTGCATTTTGTATGTTAAAGATTTTTAAGTTATGGGTAGCAAAAACTAGGATAGTTGTATCTAAACATTTAAACGTAGTTCCATTTCCAGAAAAACATAATTATAATGAAAAAAAATT